AGAGGGTACATTCCCATCCGCGGAGAATAGACGGCTCCACATTGATTCCCCAGCTTTTATCCGTTCCTGCATCTCTCCCTCTGGGGGCATCTGAAAACACCTCAACCCAGATATGATTTTGAATTCGCGAAGGGAGAATTTTAGTGGCTGGCCCCCGAATACCATCCACACTTCGTGGTTCTTTTTTGTCACGAGTTGTCTGCTGAGAAGGCTGTGGATCAACTCTATCGAGTTTGAACACCTAGCCGCTGGCAGGTTGAAAAGCTTCCCAAACTGAGAACTCAAAATCGTGGTCAGTTCTGAAGTCCCTCGCAATATCTCTGCGAGATCCCCGATTACAATTGGATTTGAGTAAATCTTTAGTCTGCCTCCTGCAGGGAAAGACTCAGATGCAAATAGACGCGGTGGGAGACTCGTCGGATAATCTTCTTCGTTTAGTGCCACTGGAGACTCGCCTGATTCAGACATTTAGGGAATTTTATCAGAAAACTGGTGTGAGAAATTGTAGGAAGTTGACAGACATACGAATTGGTGGGTTATATACTCGCGGAACTTAATTGTTGATTTAAGTAACTTCCCATTATCAGTTACAGATCTGCCCAAATTTCGGAACGGTTTCTCAGATAGAAATTTTAAATTCAGCGTAAATTCGTAAATTCTAAGTGGGTCGAGACGGTTTACCTGGGCGTATCTGGGGATTGGAATTAGACGGCGGGTCTCCCGAATTCTGTCGGAGGTTGGGTCCGGGAGCCATACGCATCTCCTCCATAGATTGTTTCTTCGCCGAAGCTCTAGTTCGCCGGACCCCCAGTTCGTGGATTTTTCTACTCGAACCCACAACCTCAAAAACTGATTGGGGAGTAGGCATCCACCTACCTCCGGGACCAAGGATGCATCGAGATTGACGAACATAAGTTTGAATTTCAAATTGTACCGTTCCCTTTTCTCTATTTTTGGGGAATTACAAGATCTGTGTACATCCCAGTAATAACATACCGAACCCTACCGTAGCCGTATTTCACATATATTCAGTAATAGTTGTGAGTGAAATATCAATTTAAATTAAATCATGTACACCATAGCTGTGAGTGACATATGCAATTAAATCATGTACACCATGTCCAGAACAACTCATTCTAACCTAAAGCTGACGTCAATTTAAATTGTCTCTCTTGTACATGATTTATTCATTGATAATCTCCATAAATTTAAGTCTTTTATACTGTACACCCAGATATACCATATAATTGCATCAGTTTTTAACATTACATAATCTAACACGATATGTCTCATGTACATCGTGTACACGTAACTACGCTCATGTACACAGTGTTCATGCACACACCATGTTCAAAATACCACATTCTTCATTACAGGGGGTACAAATGTTTCCAAAACACTGCTATACCTTAACTATGCATAATATAAAACGATGTGACACATGTACACCGTGTACACGTAACCTGGTTCATGTACACAATGTTCATGCACACATTATGTTCAAAATACCGTATTCTTCATGTACATCCACCACTAAAACCCCAATGGGGTACAAAACAAAAATGGTGTACATCACTGGCCATCGCTTGATATAACATGCGCAAAAAGTATACGGCACCTATCCTATAAATCCCAAACAACTCACACACCATCCATATTACCCCAAGGGCTCCTTGCACGTTGCTCGGTTGTGCCCTCCTTTATCGCACCGTGAACATTTGTTAGGTTTTTTCTTCTTCCCAACCTACAAGTTAATCATGATGACTTAGCGCCTTATTTTAATATAACATTTAAACTACTATTTTCAATACTTATAATTCATTCTTACTGGATATTCCCCCTTTGACAACTTTCTTTTCGTTGGAGGTCTTCCGGATGGACGCCTTAACACTACAAAAAAACCTGCGTTTTGCAACTAAACTTTGCGACCGAATTATTAGTCGCAAATGTTTGTGACTATTTTGTGACTTCTGAACGACCATTTAGCGACCACAATATTGACCGATGGAATATAGTCGCTATTCCGCGACTAAAATAAACGGTCTTTACTTGGTCGTTAATTTGCGACGATTTTAAGACCGACTAAAATAAACTGTCTTTACTTGGTCGTTAATTTGCGACGATTTTAAGACCGATTACAGACTAATTTATTATAGTCGCAAATGGGTGGCTGATATGCGACTGATGTGCGACTCAACTTTTGGTCTCAAATAATCGTCACAATGTAGTCTCAAATGTGCAACTAGTTAACAACCACTTGTTATAGTTACACTTTTGTTGCAAATTAGTTAGAAAGAGTTGGTATAAAACACGTTAAAAAAGCAGCGATAGCGACCGGTTTGTAACTAGCACCTGAAGATTTTGCGACTGACACCTGATAAAGCAACCAGTTTGCAACTATTTACCAACTCTCGATTTTTGTTTTCTCAATTTTCACATTTTAAATTTGTTTGCATATAAAGTTAAACAATTCTACACTCATTTGATGTTACTTAGTAATAAAATCTTAACCAAAGACATAAATATTGATGTTTAAAAACAAAACATTCAAATCTCTTTGTCTTGTTACATTACTCTTATGAGTATTTAGATATTTAGTAAAATATCTATATTACTTGAGTTTTGCAAAAAATTTCAACCTTAAACTAATATATGTCCTCTATAACACTAATATGAGTGTTTTTGAGTGATATATATCACCATTTTGGAACACTATGTGTAGATTTCTAAATTTTATCTTGTCGCAAAAGTGCCACCAATTTGTAACTATTACTACGTTTGCAACTATTTTGCGACAACAGTTGTAACTATTTGCCAACCAATGTTACGACTAATTTTATACTCTTATGAGTAATGTTTAGGTATTTAGTAAAATATCTATATTACTTGAGTTTTGATAAGTTTTTCAACCTTAAACTAATATATGTCCTCTATAACACTAATATGAGTGTTTTGAGTGATATATATCACCATTTTGGATGACAATGTGTAGATTTCTAAATTTTGGCTTGTGACTAATAGTCGACAGTCACAAAAGAGTTGCAAAATTGCCACTAATTTGTAACTATTGTTCAGGTAGCGACTATATTACGACAATTCTTGCAACTATTTTCCGACCAATGTTGCGACGAATATGATACTAATCGCGAAATTTCTAAGATTTTTGCTAAGTGTTTGGGCGGTTTAGATTTCCCCCCAATTTTTTTATTTGACACCGTTGTGCAACTAACTAGCGACCAAATGTGAAATTCAGAAGGGTATAATGTTTAGAGATATTGAGTATAAACTCTATATTACTTATGTATAGGGTATAATGTTTAGGGATTTGCAAAGTTTTTCAACCTTAAAGCAATATATGGTCCTCTATAACAAACCAAAAAATCTAAAAACTATTATATATACTAATGTTTCTACCAATCTACCGATTAAGTATTCTGGCAATTTGACAACATTCTTCCCCTTGGACTTATAGGACAACAGTTCGAATCTACCCAAGTTTTTTTGTACATTTTAAATAACGTCGCTAATCAGCCGCAAATGTGCGACGAAGTTGCGACGAACATATATTGAAACTCTTGTTCTCGACCAATTTTTATTTTAGTCGCTAAGTAGTACGTCTTTTGCGACTAGCACCTGAAGATTTTGCGACTTTTTTGCGACTGGCACCTGAGATAGCGACCGTTTTGCGACTATGTACCAACCCTCGATTTTTGTTTTCTCAATTTTCACATTTTAAATTTGTTTGCATATAAAGTTAAATAATTCTACACTTATTTGATGTTACTTAGTAATAAAATCTTAACCAAAGACATAAATATTGATGTTTAAAAACAAAACATTCAAAACATTCAAATATCTTTGTCTTGTTACAAGAGTAATGTTTAGAGATTTAGTAAAATATCTATATTACTTGAATTTTACAAAAAATTTCAACGTTAAACTAATATATGTCCTCTATAACACTAATATGAGTGTTTTTGAGTGATATATATCACCATTTTGGATCACTATGTGTAGATTTCTAAATTTTATCTTGTGAGTAGAAGATACTAGTCACAAAATCGTCGCAAAATTGCCACTATTTTGTAACTATTACTAAGTTTAAGACTATTTTGCGACAACAGTTGTAACTATTTGCCGACCAATGTTGCGACTAATTTGGTACTCTTATGAGTAATGTTTAGGGATTTAGTAAAATATCTATATTACTTGAGTTTTAATAAGTTTTTCAACCTTAAACTAATATATGTCCTCTATAACACTAATATGAGTGTTTTTTAGTGATATATATCACCATTTTGGATCACAATGTGTAGATTTATAAATTTTATCTTGTGACTAATAGACGAAAGTCACAAAACGGCCGCAGTTTTGCCACCATTTTGTAACTATTGTTCATTTAGCAACTATTGTGCGACGAATAGTGCAACTATTTGCCGACCAATAGTGCGACTATTTAGCTACGGTTTGTGAAATTTCTATGATTTTGGCTAAGTCTTTGGGCGGTTACGATTCCCCCCAATTTTTTTACTTTGTCACTAATTTGCGACTAAAGAGCGACCAATACACTTAATTATTAGGTTAAAACAAAGTCGATTCTTCACTTTCTCATTTCCCCCAATTTCGATCTAGGGTTTTCTCCTTCTCTCCACTTCACTACGATTTTCGATTTTCTTCTCAAATCTCCTCAAAAGTCTTCAAATCTTCTCAATTCTTCGAATCTCAGTCTCAAATCACTTCGTTCCTTTCCTCTGGGTTCGAATCGATTGTCTCAAACCCTAAATTTCGACTCAAACTACGATTTTCATGGCTCCTAAAGGTAAATCTTCACGAGGCCGTGGTGGGGGTCAGAACACTAGAGCAACAGCCGCTGGAGGAGGCCATAACTCTAGAGCAGTAGCCGCTGATCCAGTCGAGAGCACTAGACCTGCAGCCGCTGGAGGAGGCGAGACCAGTCGCCGCGGAGGGGGCGAGACCAGTAACCGTGGAGGACACCAGAACCAGTAGCCGCGGAGGAACAAGAACATGTTTAGGTTACTCTGAC